CTAGCCATGAGAACATCTTTAAGAACACATCATAGATTTTAAAGAAAACGAAAAAAGAAAAAAACTCATTTTATTCTTCATCAAATCCATACCATTTTTTACTAAAATAGTACCTTAACAGATTGATTGACTGATGCGTTGCCCCCACCCACCCACCGGGCTAACCCGAGACCGGCCCAGCTTAACTGCGGGGCCGGTCGGCTGGCCGGCCGGGCGGGGGGCCGGCCCACACGATGGGCTGACCTCCCGCTCGGCGGGTCGGCCGCGGGGGCGCCGTCCACAACGCGGTACGCGGGACGGCGCCGGTGGGGGCGGGCCGCCCGCCTGGAGCGCCGGGGAGGTACCCCACAGATCTCCCCGGTTGGGGAGGCAACGTTGAGTTCTCCCCGGGGCCGGGGCGGACCATTCCTGATGCATTGGGGAATGGTACCGCCCTGGCCTGGCCAGGCGGGCCGCAGGAGTGTGAGACTGGGAGAGTGTTGGCATGGAAATGTTTGCTCGCACCAATCACCATATCAGGCCCCATCTCTCCTGATGACTCTCTTGCAACAAGCTCGGCTTAGCTGGAGGGCATCGGGAGGGATGGCAAGACAATTTATGCATGAATTAGACCAGACCTGATTTACCCCACTAATGTCCCCTTCCAAGTGAGTGTGTGCGTGTTCCTCACTAACGATGTGCGATTGAACCCTTAGCGGACAGTTTATGCTGGATTTGGCATTAACTACTATGGCTCTCTGTATCTACTAACCAAGTTAAATAATATCATACGTAGTCAATTCTGCTTCTTTTATGTTTTTTTCCTCTTCTTAGCAGGGAGTGCCGCGACTTTTTCTACTTTGATTTTGATTTTGGTGTTAACGTAAGGGTTCTGTGCGTCGCTGGGACTGAGGGTGGGGGCACTCCTGGTTGCCTGATCATGGGTAACGGACTATTAGAAAAAAAAGACGATCGCTGAGTCGTGATTTTGGTTCTCGTGTTTCCCATGCTCAGGCACGTCGAATGATATACTTTTTGTTCAGGTGATGCTAACTTCAGGTGTGGACCTCGGATCAAGGTCAGGTTAGAGCCATTCAGGTCAAAAATTCAGGTCGGTGGAAAGGGGTCATATCGCATATAATTCGATTCGGTAAGGCTTATCGAGTCCAGGGTGGCTTTTCCGATTCGCTAGCTCAATTTGATTGGGACTTGTTGACGAAAAACTCCTTTGACTTTAGTGACGACATAAATGACGTCATAGAGGGTAGACGATGCAAACAGGAGGCATCAGACCTTGCAAAGAGTGCAAGAAATTATGATTTATATGTTCGAGATAACTTCAGATTATTCCCGGCCCCAAAATAAGTTTCCATATTCCCCCATCGACCTATAATGGTGGAAGGTCACATGACCCACCTGACCTCAGGTGAGGTGTCCTTTAGGAAAAACCGAGACATAAAGGTTGTTAGACCTCTGGAGGATAATTGCTCCTGTAAGTTTTATCTCCCTGTGAAACCTCTTCTGGCACTGAGGTCTGAGGGCATAGCGAAGTTGTGAAATTACTTCGGTTCCATGGCACAAGTTAAGCCGATTTTGCAAAATGGATTTCCAAGAATCATATCATTTAGACATCATTTGATATTGTAATTATAGGAATAAGTGCTACCTAAAGCCATATATAAGCTCATTTTTTTTGCATGGGGTAAATAGTATCCGAGAAAAACGCACGTGAAATTTCGTTAAATCGATTTAGACGTGTCATGACGTAGTGATTTTAGGACCGTTTATTTACATATGACATCATAGGCCAGTGACATGACATGGTCTAAAGATCCGGCTTGAAACAAAGGTCGCGTATGCTAAATTTTAGCTTTCTGTCCCCAGCATATTGTACCTTGACTAAGTTGACCTGACGCTTCTCCGATGTGCCTACTTTTTATCAATTTTCTGAAACAGTCTTCCTATAAGTCATAAGAGTCAAGGCTACATTGGAATTTGCATTAGGCTGGGCTCTTAATATTTATCAGCTATACCAGATTTTGTATTTTCTGTCTTATACAGGTCACATTTTGAGGCTCATCTATTCCGCATTGTGATCCTATCGATGTATTTTAAGATGTCAGCTCTCTCAGAAATGAGAGTCGAATTCTCAATAAAAGAGGTTTCCAGAAATTCCTTTCCGGGCCAAGTGTTGGTGGTCGGTTCTGACGAGCTGAATCATGAGATGGTATCTGGACTGTGGGGCCGTCTCTCCCGGCTCCGTTTCACTGCCGCTGGGCGAGGTCCGCGCTCCTCTCGCGGTCACGACCCAGATTGGTGCCCTCCGGTTCGGGGAGAACGGTTGTGAAATGTGGTCCACCGACTCTCGGGGCGCGCGATAAAACGCGCCGTCATGGAGTGCCACGGGCGGGGCCGGCCGCGGCTCATCTGTATGCCGTGCCCGGAGACTAACGGTGAGATAGATCTCTCCGTGGCGTTGCCATGGAGACCGGGCCGCTGACCGGCCGGAGAGGAGTGACCTCTGAAAGTGGTCCGCCGCGCCGGCCGCCGCCGGCCGTCTCCTCTCCGACTGCTCTCCTGTCTGCTGACCATCGGCTTGAGAAGAGCGGAGCTGGGGCCGTGACCCCGGCAGCCGGCATGGCGGCCACCCGGTCACCGACCGGCGCGGCCCGGCGGCCCGGCAGAGACGGCACCAGCTTCCCATGAGTCCATCCGACGGCCGCCGCAACACCCGAGCTGTTTATCGACCCACTCAGCAGGGGAGGGACGGGTTCCCGAAACATATGACCCGGAGCCTTTGAATGGATGGATGAAGGGGGAGATGGGAAGAGAGAGAGAGAGAGAGAGAGAGAGAGAGAGAGAGAGAGAGAGAGAGAGAGAGAGAGTGAGAAAAAGAGAGATAGCGGGAGAGAGGGATGTTTCGATGCTTCCTCGTCGAATGTTGACACGCTTTGTTTTCTACTAGCAAAATCGAGATGCGTCCCCGTTGTTCACTTTCTCTTTAGATCCAAATGGAAAATGGCTCAGCGTGGAAAATACCAGCCAAATTCAGTCAAAATTAGGGTTGAAATGAGAGAAGAGAAGAATATATTGCACTCTTCTGTATTTGCTAACAAGGAAAAGCAATAAGTAACCTGGAATTCCTTTCCAATGTTCCGAACCTATTTGACATATTCATATTAGTTTCGTACCCTAATGGCTTGTACAGATAGGTGGAGAGAGCCTCATTTGTAGCCCAGCTTTCTCTAAGGAGTTACGAAACAGTCAAACAGAATAGAGTTTCTAAACAATTCGAGAGTTGTGTCGACATGAAAGAGAGATGCCTTCCTTGGTGACGAAATTGATACTTTCACGCTAATTTAGCAAACATTATGCAAATGTGTCTGATGCCTCGTGTTCTTATCGGACAGCACATAATAAACAGGTAGAATTTTGTACCTTAGCTTAACCCGCGCCCCAGTGGCGGTCTCAGCCAACTTCGGCCTAGGGGGGGGGGGGGTATATGAAACCACCCACCTCTGACTCAAAAACTAAGAGGGCTAGAAAGACGCGGTAAAAAGCAGTCGAAAGCTCTCGATGCGTACGTTTAAAAGTTTTCAGTTATGTTTCATCTTAGAGCAATATTGGGGTCACCAGAGGTCATCAAAGGTCAAAATTTGCGAATTGTCATTATATTTTTCAGAAAACATGCCATTATCTCAGGAACTATGATAGCTAGAAAAACGCTTGGAAAAGCAATCGATAGCTTTTGAGCTCTTCTTTTCATAAGGTCATTATCAAAAAATGACCTCAGGTCAACGGTTTAGCCTCCAGAGGGCAAAAACTCCAAAAATAGCTGTTTTTACGAAAAGTGTTTTTCGACAATAACTTTTGACTGAAAAAGCCACGACATTTCTATTGCCAGAATCGTGTTCCTCTCGCCGAGACGCGTCGAATGAACTATAATTTGATCTTTAAAGTTCAACTTAAAAATTTGACCTCAGGTCAAGGTCATGACCTGACCGGAAAGGGTCATGTTGCATATCAGTCGATGCGTCTTGGCAAGACAAACACAATGAGGCCATCCCCAGCGTTCTATCTCTTTCCAATCGAGAGTTTTAATATTTTTTAATTTTACACAGTGTTGTGCAAGTTTGAAATTGAATCTGCTAACTTTTAAGGTCAGGTCACCAGGTCACTTTGAATGACCCAACCTCAAGTCACTTTTTTTGCAACTTTGTCACCATGTCAGAGCTACAGTAGATGACGTAGTCCTTTGAAACTCGGAGGATGGCATTAGGTCATTGGTAGCTACAGTTCGTGTGTCTTGGAGTTTTTATATCGATGACCTAAGGTCAGGTCAATTTCTCTACCTCCCCATTATAAGTCAATGGGGGAAAAATAAACTCCCTGTTTTTTTTCACTAAAACGCGTCAGAAATGCCCCATATAGCATACATGACCTCATATACGATCAACCTTCACTACCTCGAGGCCTGTTTTGCTGTTGGGCAGCTGTAAGGTCATGTGACGTCATTAAAGGTCACCAGAGTTTTTTTTGCCAATAACTCCTTACAGGAACAAGATACAGCCGCGCGGATGGTCTCATTGTGTTCAGCTCGTCAAGGCGCATCGATTGATATACATGTCCATGATGACCTCGAGGTCACGTGACCTGAGGTCAACCTTTGACCTTGACCTTTCCAGGTCAACATATTTATATGATTCGATGCGGATTGACGAGAGGATCACGATGTTGCCCTTAGTTTGTTCCTAGCTTGACCATTTCGAAAGTTATTCGAGAAAACTCTCCATATCTAGCGCCGCCATTTTGACTTTTAGGACCACTGTGACGTCATCTTTGACCTGAGCTGAAAATGACCTATGTAAAAATGGTAGACCTTGTCCGTGCGTACCCCATGCTGTTTACCGCTTGTCGCTATCTTGCTTCGTTCTCGAGATCTCAGGGGGGTGGTCATCCGCCCCCCCCCCCGTCGGTTCTAAGTTGGCGCAGACCCCTGTCGGTGCACGGGTTAAACATAATTATTTTTCGCTCTGTATTCGTCACTGCATAGCTTGTAATAAATACGCTTCAACGTAACAGCTCGTAACACCTGAACAATTCAAACAAAAACAAAATCGGCTAGAGCAGCAGCTGCCGAGGGCCGGGGAGGGCCGCGCGGTGTATCCGGCGGAGCACTGGTGACGTCACAGGACCACTGGTCCGTTCGCTAGCAGGCCGGGAACGTGGACATGCCGGACGTGGTGCAGTAGTATGTGACGCTGACGGTGGTGGCCGAGTTGACCGTCAGCGTCGAGTAGGTCAGCGTGGTCGTGGATGTGGTGAGAATGGTCAGCAGCAGCTTGTCCTTGTCGGCCGGCGTCGGCTCCGTCTGCGGCTCGCTGGCCAGAGAGGACTGCAGGGGCTCGGCCGCGGCCAGCTCAGTCTCCCTGCGACCAGCAGATAGCATATGCGTCAGAAAACAGATACGCTAATGAGAAATGATCCCGCCAGACTAAACAAAGCCTCTGATGGGTTTAGGCAGAATCCGGCTAGCTCAACGACATGGAATGCCCCCTCCAGGGCTGCGGAAGGAAGGAAGGCTTTGAACTATGTCAGGTGCTGGTCTGCGTGACAGCCAGGAACGTTAGGACCAGCCCTATACCATCCAGTCTTTATACCTGATTTCCGGCAGCTCCTCCCTGAGGATGTTCCTCCTGCGCCGACGCCCGGTACACCCGAACATAGTGCTGATCACTGCAAGCAATAAATAGGACAGCGTTAGATGCAATACAGCAATAATTTCAAGGGCATGCACAATGAACAGCTGAGATGAGAAAACATTCGCTAATGCGTTTTCACACAAAACTAATCTAAGCTAGTGCAAAAACTATGGGTTGGTTTCGTTTAATCATGAGGCAGCTGGCCGTTCAATTACGAGCCTGCGGGTTTCAGTGTCACTGGAGTGCGGTGGCCGCGATGCCACTGACTTACGCTGAGTGTAAGTGTAGAAATCAGTGTCTGTGGCTGACTTACACTGAGTGCAGGTGTAGAAATCAGTGGCCGTGGTGCTTGTGATTATGGAAGTGCGCAGCACAGTGGAGTAGGCGCCCAGGCGTGCTCCATCTGAGGCGCGCACAGCCGCCACCTCCTCCTCCCGCTCGCCGGCAGCTGTTAGCGCAACGGTCAGCGGTACGCGACAGTCAGCAGTAGTAACAGCTAACAGAGCTGTCAACAGCTGTCACCACAGCTGTCAGTGCAACAATGAACACCAGTCACCACAGCTGTCAGCGTGACAGTCAACAGCAGTCACCACAGCTGACAGCACTATTGTCAGCAGCAGTCTACATAGCTGACAGCACGCCACGACAGTCGGCAAGCGTTGCAGTCGAACATCAGTGCGCACCGTGTCATTCACGGCTGCCAGCAGACAGTCCGCACGTCACACGGCTGTCAACGCAGCAGTCAAGAGCAGTCTAAAGCGGAGACGATTTGTTCTCAGAGCACTCGACAGGCTATCTGTCCCATATCTGGGCACACAGGTCCAAAAGGGATGTGCTGAGCCACTGAGGCGCACCAGTGTGTGCTTGAATGAACCCATATTATTTATCCCTTACTCTTGAGTCCCACGATCCTGTATAATTGTCTAAAATACCACTATATTGATATTGGGTGAATGGGTAAACAGGGAAAAATCATCCAAAGAAAGAAAGGAACTCATTAACTAAATAAATGCGACATCAAAATAAGCAAAAACATACGGATGAATCTGTCACTCCTTCCTGCTTACCTGCTAGGGAAGCTAGTAGCAAGCAGCCCAAGACTGCCAGTGTGCTTTTTGAGGCCATCTGCAGGGAAACCAAAACCATGTTAAATGGCTGTCTCCTGCCATGCTCACCTGAGCAGCAGCATATCAGTAAATTATAACAAAGATCGGTATTTTGAATCTCACACCAACGCCGCTGGTGACATACCGTTTGCTGCGCTCTCCGGCGGTGCGGGGGCGTCAACGGCCGGCTGAGATGGTCAGGTTGCAGCGCAGATCCAGACCCGGGAACCGACTGAGACTCGGCTCGGCTCGACCACGCTCAGACACCGAGGGCGGACATCTCGGCACTTTTTGCTCCTGTTTTTGTGTCTGCTTGAAGCAGCATCCCTTCCTTCCTACCATGCCTTCATTAATCCAAAGAGCCGCAGGGATCTGCATAGGCACGCACAAGGATCGCGTACATACCCTGCGCATACAGTATACAATAGGTATAAACCGGCAGTACGGTATGCAATCCGGTAACTCATTAACCACAAACCTGCACAAACATTGACAAGGTGCTAGATAAAGGAAGCAGATGCCCTCTTTCCCTCTCTCTCTCTCTCTCTCTCTCTCTCTCTCTCTCTCTCTCTCTCTCTCTCTCTCTCTCTCTCTCTCTCTCTCTCCCTCTCTCTCTCTCTCTCTCTCTCTCTCTCTCTCTCTCTCTCTCTCTCTCTCTCTCTCTCTCTCTCTCTCTCTCTCTCTCTCTCTCTCTCTCTCTCTCTCTCTCTCTCTCTCTCTCTCTCTCTGGCAGACACTACGGTAGCTAGCAGTCCATAACTTCTTACTAATTGGTTATTTTACTTGAATGTCATTTAATAGATATCACAAACATTTCATATTACATCATAAAACTTCGCGTGTCCAGCATTATACCTGCCGTTAGGACTACCGTTGCTGCTGCAACCTAATCAGTATTCACCTGTCCAATCTTCATCTCCGTCATTTAATGACAATCATAAACATTGCTAGCCTCGTGAAGCCTCTGACACAGTTAGCTTGGCGCTGTCCCGTTTCACCGCTGCAGCGCTGATGTTGGTTCCTGGGAGCAGGCTGCGGTACTCGTGGTCGGTCGGCCCCGAGGCAGTAGGGCGGCACCATGGGTCAGCCACGACACGACAGAGGCGCTGTGGAGTGCGGATGGTGCTGCGTCTTGGTACCGTCGGCCTCATTGCGCCGCGCCGACCCGACACCACAATCACTGTGGTGGTCGGCGGCTCTCCTCCCACCCCTCACCCCTCCCCCCACACACACACACACGCTGTCACAGTCCACCGAGATAGGAGCCGAGCGGCCGTATAGAATGGCAGGGTGTCCGATTACCGGCTGGCAGCTTTATCTGAGTGTTCGGCGCTTACCGCTAAATATTTGACGCTTTATGATCTGCAGTGTTAGTTGTAACCACCATTTCGCAGCAAAACACTAGACAGTGAAGCTTGTGGAGCATGAGAGACAGTTTCGGCTGCAGAATATCCATAAAGATGCTCTACGGTCACAACAGAAAATCAGAAACGCTCGGAATCATCTTCAGTGATATCATTCAAGTTCCAAATCAAAATAAGTAATAGTGACTTGACGGCAAGTTTCTACAGTCGTAGGTTTGCAAGACCACCACTTTTGTTTTGGTGCGTTTTCGTCGATGGATGCCTTATTGTCAGGTACGAACAAACGCAAACTGAATCGTTTGTCTATTAAAAGCAAGTACGTACCTCATACGTACCTCAGCGTAAACAGCAACGATGTGAAAAATAAATTTATCATTAAGGTGAAGACGAAGCGTAGAAACACAGATCAGTTCCAGTGAATGCAAGTCGATGACTAGAGTGCAACTAATGATCAGTTGTAACAAAAAGTCATTGAAGTTACGCGTGCCCTATTTGCTAAATACGACAATAATTTCATTTTCAACTCCAGCCCATATTACCCTTTTTACATTGTCTTACGTTTTGAAGGGTTGTCTGTTACAACAACCCCTCCCCCACCCTCACTGGACTTTCAGTCTCTGATCAAGCTAGAGCTTTGCCGAAAAATCGGCGTTTAGCGCAGCTAGGAGCTTTTTCTAATCGTATACGAGCGAAAAATTTTGTGGTACCATGACTTCTCTGTTTGGCCCTCTAGGGGCAATGAACCAGCGCGCGGCCGCTGCGCAGCCAAGACGTCCGTCGCGGTCACGTGACTTAGGCTAGGGGAAGCATTGGAAAATCGGCGTTTAGCGCAGCTAGGAGCTTTTTCCAATCGTATACGAGCGAAAAATTTTGTGGTACCATGACTTCTCTGTTTGGCCCTCTAGGGGCAATGAACCAGCGCGCGGCCGCTGCGCAGCCAAGACGTACGTCGCGGTCACGTGACTTAGGCTAGGGGACGCGCGCCCGCGATAACGTTGTGTTCCATTTCTGCCTGGTCTGTCTGGCGACACACGCGTTGCCGTCCGCCTCCCCGCCGCCGCCATGTCATGTTATTCGCTTGTCGCGTGTTATACCTCATCGGGCTGTCACCTCACCCAAAGACGCTGTTTCCGTGAGAATATAGCCCCGAAGCCCGTTACGAAAGAAAACTGATGAGACAGAATATATGATATTCAAATCAAATCAATCCAATCATAAAGTCAATAAATAAAATGCCAGAAACACCCAAGTTTAACCCTCGCCGGGCGAGGGCCTTTTCCATTACACGGACGGCGAGGGGGGTTGGTACGACCCCCTGGTGATTGGCTCCAATGGCACTTAGAAGCGCCAAGTTTACAGGGTAGGTGGGCCTATAGGAGATCTCGTCCCCGTAAAAAAATTTGGTGACTCTAAATTAATATTCAGGGGGTTGGGGGTAAAAGTGCAAAAATTTCGCTAAAAGATGCCAAAAGTTTGTCGCCATGATATCTAGCAAAGATAAGGCAAAATAAAAGCACCAGTGAACTCAGGACGTCCGTGCGCATCGAATGGTATTCTTTGTTGCCAATTAAAGTAAACTCACAATTTTCTTAAAAAATTATGCGAACTTAAAGTGACCATGCCACCTTAACCCGCGCCGGGCCGGGGGGTCTTTGAACACACACACACCCTGCGGTTTTTCGCAGATATCTGAAAAACGGCGGCGCGGAGCGCCGCCGTTTTCGGCACACCTGTTTGTGCATCTTTTCCGCACATGTTATTAAACTTTCAGACCCAGGTCGCCTTAGGTCAAGTCACCAGGTCACGCCAAGTGACCTCACCTCAGAAAAAAATAAGAATGTTCGTCATAGCTACACCGATTGATCGATTGCCTTGAAACTTTCAGCGATTGATTAGAGCAACATTATCCCTCGCCGACACAGGCCATTTTGCGTCCTTCGACGGCAAAAGGGATGGGGGGTTGGTACGACCCCCCCCCCTCGCGTTTGGCCCCTGATCGAGCTAGAGCTTCGCGGAAAAAAACGAGCGTGTTGCCCGTCACGAGAGGAAGCCGATGATACCCAATTTTAAGGTCCTAGGTCATCGGGTGACCTTCCAGGTCAGGTCAATGACCCGAAAACCGGGAAAATCGGGACCTGTTAGAAAGTCGTAAAGTGTGGCTGTTATGTGGTTCTGATCACGAATATCGTGTTAGTTTTGATCAGAGATGATGTCTTGAAGCATTTAGACCAGGTCGGGTCAGGTCAGGTCAGGTCAACCGGTAGCGGGTATTCGTAATACGTGTCAACCGCCTCTGACAGCTTCGTAACATGTTACGAAGGCACCAAAACTACTTCGTAAATGTTCAAATGGTTGCTAAATTCGAATTCAGCTCCAAAAACTAGCCTAGAAACATGTAAAACTCGAAAAAGTGAACCGAGGTCACCCGAGGTCACCAAAGGTCAATGACCTGACCTGACCTTCAGGTGACCTTGACACCCACCCTAATGTATGGGAGCAACATCAAATCACATGTTTGAACGTTTGAAACCACGAAAAGCTTGCAAACGCGCGGCTAATGCGAGCCGACATACGCCGAATCGCGATTCCGGCCAAACATGGTCTCGGAAAAGAGGTCACAGGTCAAAGGTCATTTGGGTCAGGGTCATGAAATTTTCAGGGTAGGTGTAAAATTGATCAATGCGAGGGTACTGAAAGTTTCGTCGCGATCGGCCGCTTTTTACGCGAGTTATTCGCGAAAAACCTTAGGGGGGGTTGCATCAACCCCCCCCCCTGTGCCGGCGAGGGTTATCTATAAATGTATATCTCGGAATTTTGATATCGGTGACCTAAGGTCAGGTCAATTTTGCGGCCTCTCCATTATAAGTCAATGGGAGAAAATTGAAAAGCGTCTGTTTTGCACGAACGCTATTCTAGACACTCTCGAACATCGAGATGTAGGTAAAATGGACACACTGAACCGGAAAATGGCAACTGTGACCCCTCGTTATGTCCCCGAGGTCATCTCAGGTCACGAACAGAATCTAACAGTTTTTCGCTAATAACTTCTGATAGAGGCGTGCTAGAGCGCTGAAAACGCCTTCATGAGCTGCTCCTTCCCATATTCACGCTACAGTATTCAACTACCGACCTTACATTCGCCAAATTGATGCAGCCGAAGGTACTGAAAGTTTGGCGACGATACGTCAAGCGGTTTAGAAGTTATTGCAGAAAAACGGGAGGGGGTTATGAATAGCCAACTCCCCCAGTGGGGCGCGGGTTGAGTCCACTCATGCAATGAAATCGAGTCTAGCTTAAAAACTGAGCTTTTGAGAGCGATTAAACCATAGCTCAATGTTTTGCATCAAAGTGGGCCGACTCGACATCACCCTGACGTCATTTCCAGCCGATCTATGGTAGCTAGAGAGTTGTAATTTGAACACAACGCGTCAACTTTATGTCCTGGAAGGTAATGTAAGTGTTGTGTTGATACCTCAATTGGCATAGAAGATATCGCAAAAAAATTGGAGGGGGCTTTGTAGAGCCCCCCCCCCCCAGTCATGCGCGGGTTAACAAAGTTATTGACCAGGCCAAAACTTCAAATTTGACTTAAACTCAAAGGGCAACGGTTGACCTGAGACCTTAAACTCGGTTAGTAGTCGATGCGTTTCGTAGCGATACATGCGCTCTTTTTACACAGCTCTAGCCCTGGCCGGCACAGGGGGTTGATGCAACCCCCATAAGGTTTTTCGCAAATAACTCGAGTAAAAGACGGCCGATCGCAACGAAACTTTCCGTAACCTCGCATTGATCACTTTTACACCAACACTTGAAATTTCATGACCCTAACCCAAATGATCTTTGATATGTGACCTACTTTTCGAGACAATGTTTGGCCGGAATCGCGAT